TAATTCTTCTTGCTCTTACCCATGGTGCCTTAGGTCTCTTCCTCTCCCCATTATTGTACTGTTTGAATCACTGGCCATTGCACATTGGAAACAATTTCAGAACTTACCGGTAGCGTAAGTGTAACAACTGCATCGTTCCCACCTATTAATTTACATGGTAGATTTATATGTTTCTATTATTATTGTTACAGTAAAAAAGACATCGCTACTGCGTGTGTGGATCGACAAATCTTTCTACAGTACAGGCAACCGCTTCAATAAATTTAACCAATATTAAATAGATCAATGTCTTACTTGCACACTGGCAGTTTTCTCCAAAATATGGATCTACACAATCTGAAAATAAAAGCAAAGAGAACAGAATTTATTATTAGTGGATGATCTCTCCACATATTGCATTAAACATGTAGATGGTGATGTACTCTCTTGCAAAAAACAAGCTGACTTAAACGGCATTTTAAAATTTCTATCACACAGACCATGGGCAACATAATTCCCTTATATTTGTCAACACTGTTAAGTTAGGGATATTATTTGTCAGTTCCTAATTATAATGAGCTCCATACAACGCATTTCAAGTTTAACTCCTAAAGTTTCATAGGTTTTCAGGCCCCATGACAAGTAACATCGTGGAGGTTTTTCTTACTTCCAGCACATTTTCCAGTATCCTCTTCGCAAACATCGCCTGATGCACAGTGACATGCCTGCTTGCAATCAGCTCCAAACATCCCACCATTACAACCTGATTAAAAATCCAAACATTTTGACTCGGTTACATCACCCGTTTCTTCCATGATCACATTATTATAAAAAAATAGATAAAATACTGTATGACTTATTCAGGGCTATACATCCTTCGGCGAAAAAAACCGTTCTGTAGCATTTTACTTCACATAAGCATTCCATTTACAACATTTTTTACATTTATGAAAATCGTATCTTGAATTCTCTCTTTGCAAAAGAAGTCCGCACATTGGAATAACAGTGAAGCGTCACTTGTAGCACGAGGACTTTTGCCCGTTTGCGCAGCTGGCGAATCTACCAGTAAAAATGTATTCAACTGATCTGAGATCGCCGGTGCACTCTCTGGTTATATTCGTTGCAGAGTGGAGTGTTCCACTACAGACAATGCCTAGACTGGTTTACCTTGCGTGCAGTCTATTCCAGTAAACCCAGCAGCACAGGAACACCCGTACGGGTCAGGAAGACAGAACAAACGACCCTGGCAAGCATCGTGG